TCATTTTCCACTCATCCTTTTTTCTTTTTTTTTCTTTTTCTTTTTTTTTTTTTTTTAAATATTTTCTTCCCCAATGTCTGTTCATTCCTGGTCTGTGCTTCTCCTTCCTCACACAAGATTATGCTGATCAGATCCGAAACTTGCAGAAGATAAAAGAGAAGCTCGAAAATGCATTAGAAAAGCATCAGGATTGTACGTACTTTTTTTCTTTTTTAAAGTTGAAAACTGTTATGGTTGGAAGGAAACGCATTTGAGGTACAGGTGTTTTAATCATTTGATTTCAAACTGTGCGCCTCTAGGTTGCGAAGAAATAGAACACAGGTTCTTGCCTTATTTACAGCGTGAAAAGCAGCAGTAGCCTGTCGGCTGTTGAACAAAGCTGTTATTTTACTCCTTTTGCCAAATTTGGGGCTAACGTGCAGGAAGGACTTTTTGAAACCTCTAACTTTGTTATAATGCAGTGAGGAACAGCACTGCTATCTTCTGTTATTTCTGGCGTTTGTCCAACGTACAAGCAGTATGAGGTAATAAGTGGCACAGCGTTAGTGCTAGAGAGTCAAGATGGGGGCTAATTGCTTGCAGAAGCAGCTCTGTAAAGTTATAAATAACTTACAGAAAATTGAGAAGCAATTTTAAAAGATGAGTTTTTAATACAGCTGGTGATTCTCTGTTGATAGCCTCCATGAGGAAGTTTCAGGAGCAGAATGAAGCCCACCAGGCTAGTCGAGCCAAGATGGCTGAAGGAATGGCTTTGGCCTTAGAAAAAAAGGACCAGGTAACAGAGCTTGAACAGCTCAGCTTTTGTCTGTCTGTGAGATCTGAGTGCATGACCTTGATGTTTTAAGCAGGTGTCGCCGTTAATTAAAATAGTTGTTCTGCATTGTATTTGCTTAGCGTGCCAACGTTGAGGAAAGAAGGGAGTATTAAGTTAAAATGCCAGAAATGGTGTAGGACTTGTCATTGTTCTGACTGTTCTTACTGTATTTAATAAGAGCCTGCAACAATTTCTAATGAAAGGTTAAGCTTGCACTTATGTCTGGTTAAGATTCAATTGCAGTAGACCTGTTGACACTTTTATTTTATTTTACTTGCATAAAGCTTATGTATTTGTGTAGCATGAATGATTCCTTAGCCTTTATATATTAAAACACCAGAGGTTACTTTTCTTTTGCTGATGATTTTTTTTATCATTACCACAGGTTAGTATCTCTGTTAACAATACAAATTCTTCTCTTTTTTTTAACCATAATTGCTGTCCTTGAAAGTCTACAAATTGATTTTGATTTTTTTTTTATTTTTTTTTTTCTTCCTTTCTTTCTTGTTCAGGAGTGGATGGAAAAACTGGGTCAAGTTGAAAAGGTAATTAACTTTTGGTGTTTTGGTTTTTTGTTTTGGTTTGGGTTTTTTTGTGTGTCTGTGTATTTGTAAACACCAGCCTGCGCACTTCCTACAGCTCAACTCTATTTGATCTTCGTTCAGTGGGAGAGGCCAGAGATTTGCCTTCGTTACCAGCCCAAATGCTTCAGGAGATATTTCTGGAATTATTTTTCAGTGGGGAAGTAAAGAATGATGGGTTACGATGAGAAAGATGTACTTCTGTAAGGTGGAACAATAGTTTCGGTTATTACAGAGGAGGCAGCTGGGATGCAGAAGGAGGTAGTGGCTTCGCCTGAGGTCTTGCAGTAGGTCATCTGTTTCAAAAATAAATGAAACTATTTGGTAGGGATTTTTTTAATACAGGATTTCAATCTTGTAGTTGTTCCAGCTGTTTAGCTTAGTCTATTTTAAAGTAGCTCTGATTACGAAGACATTAAACATGCCACTATTTGCTGTCCATTTTTAAGAGTTCAGTTGGGTGATCATTGGCTGCACTGTAATGAATATGGATTTTTTTGGAGATTTTTTTGAAGTTTGGTAATTTGTTCCACGTTGCCTACTGTGACATGAATGTGGAAGAGCTTCTAGTTCTACGTGTAGTACTGTCTTGGCTGCAAGACAAGATTCCTTTCCCAGAGAGTTTAACTAAACTCCCATTGACTTGAAATGAGCATACAGACATTCTTGGATTCATTTTGGTTTTGTTGGTTTATCAGGAAAAAAAAATGCTTGAAACACAGTTACAAGAAATGAGGGAGCAGAGTTTGAACCTTTTTCAAAAAAGAGATGCAATTGATGAACTGGAGGGCTTTCAGCAGCAGGAAATTGCCAAAGTTAAGCACATGGTAAGATTCTTTTAAACTTTTTTTTTCCTTTCCTAAAATTTCTGCTAGCATACCAAGTTAATGGTAGCTCTGCCTTAGTTTTTTTAGCCTTAATGCTTGTATACGGCCTCAGTCAGTGTCAAAGTCCTAACAGTAGGTGCATGCATACAATATTACATAATTTAGTTCAGCAGTGACTTTTCTGGGAGTAATTTATTATTTCACTTAATTCAGCTCATAACTTAATAAAAAAAGATGAGTTTCAATGGGAAGACTTTATCAGTATTACCAGGTCATCTGTATTGTCAAAGATAACGTTCTAATATTCAGCTTTTGAAAAAGGAAGAATCTCTGAGCAAAACAGAGCAGGAACTAGAGGCGTGCACTCGAGAACTAACCCGCACTAAAGAGGTGCTTCAGGATGCAAGCAACGAGTCATCAGGCCTAAGGAAAGATCTTCAAGAGTTGCAGCAGCAGTTCTTGGAGCTGGAGGCCCAGAGGTACGGATGTGGTGTTTCATGAGGAGCAGTGCATGCAGTTCCCCTGTACTTTTACTTTGTGCCCAGTTCTGTCTTTTTGGAAGAGTTTCTATATGTAGTGAGCTGACTGAAGAATTGCTTCTGGTGTGCCGATGTGGATGTAAATGCCAAGTTTATATTTCTTTTCAAGCCAATTAAAGTAGTACTTGTTTCGGGTTTTGTAAGCTTGTTATGATTTCTCTTTTTCATAGTTTGAATGCTTAACTGTCAATTTTTTTGGAAAATGTATAATCAAGTAGTGGCTGGTTTTAGGACAAGAAAATCTTGTTGATGTTGCGTAGTCCATTTTCATAAGAAGCAGAATTATCTGCTAAAGATTATTTTTCTGGAACAGTATGTCACTTTTTTTTTTATTCTCTTTCTGTGAAGAGATGAACTAATGACAGCTGAGACAAATGCAGAAAATAAGATCACTGCTCTGAAGTTAAGAGAACAGGAGCTACAAACTGTCATTCAGCAGCTTTCTGTAGACTTGCAAAATGTAAGTTTGAGTTAAGTGAGATTTGATTCAAAGAGCTCCTTGTCTGCAGAAGTTAGATTAGATATCAGTTATGTGTTTTTTGGAAACCTAAGTTTCAAAGCAAGTAATTTCTCAAAATTTTTAGGCTCGAGTTGCTGGTTCTGGTTGTGAGAAGAGACTGGAAATGTTACAGGTGGAGCATGAATCTCTGAAGGCGGAATATGAACAACACAAGCAAAAGGTTAAGTGTTTTCAGATGCATCTGCTGTTGGCTGGTGTAAAGGTGTACGCTTGGGTAATGCGCTGTGAGTTTGAAATTTGGTGTCTAGAAAGTTGTTTTAGGATCATGTTGTCGTTTCAGATAGGACTTTTCTCTCTCTCATGGCACTTTTAAAAGTCAAACCACAATGGATTAGACGAAAGCTTTGCTACAATAAAGTTTCTGTGATTTCTTGTTCTCACAGGTGACTCTTGAATTTGCCGAGAGAAATAAACTTACTGAACAGCTGCAGGAGAAAGTGTCTTCCTTGGAAAAAAAGCTGGAAAGAAACCTTTCAGGGGATGAACACGTGCAGGAGCTACTCAAGGAGGTAATTATACATTTATATACTGCTTAGAAGTGCAATCTTAGTGAGATTTTTTTAGGACATACGTTACTTATCACACATGGAAAGAATATATGATGATGTAATGCAGGCACATTTGTCCCTTCAGTGTATATTGGCACGCTGTCTGTGCTGGACAGGATCGTGTGGGTGGCTACACTGAGCGTGTTTATGGCTACACTGAGCTTGTTTACGTAGATATCGCACAGATGTCTTTGGTCTTTCTGCATTGTCTGTTTAGGCAATGCGTCTGACTGCTTAGAAAAAAAAAGAGCAACTTTTTAATATGCCCACAGGAGGTAGAACAACTTGAGAGTTTTCTTGGTTAATCCTCACAGAGAACAGTGCATGCTTTTCCTTGTTCTTCGTCTCCTATTATTGTGGCTTGCAAAGCATCGGGACAGGGAGGGGAACTGTTTTTGCACATAGTTGTACAAACAGAATGTCATATATTGAAAGCTTGAGCCTCAGAAGTGTTAAGAAACAGCTGAAAACAAAGAACTTTGCTTTGGTCGATGCTCTTTCTCTCATTACTTCCCGATCTCTTCTCGAGCACTGATGCTCCTGTTCAGCATCAGCTTGGAGCAGTGTTTCCCCAGCTGGGTCCTGGGGAGATGAGGGAAGGCATGCTCCTCCTTGGTCAGGCTTGTCTACAAGACACATCAGCTCAGTGTTGCTGTGATAAATGAACTTGGCTTAGTAAACTCAAGCCAGTTTAAAGTCTATGTAGGGGTAGTAAAACATTTTGGAAAGTAACTACCATAACTAGCAAAGCTTTTACCTTCTTTGTTTGTGTGTTTGCTGCAATGCAGAAAAAGTTAAGCTTTCAAAAAACCTTTTTTAATCCCTTAAACTTGGCCTGGATTAGAAAATTATGACCTGGCTGCTGATTAGAGTTTACATCTGGATCATGGCAGGATGCCAGTGAATTTTCCATTCTTAGTATTAATGATGTCATCCTCAGGGCAACACCGTCTATGGCAGCCCTATGCAGGAGCATCAGACTTGCTGGTTCCCAAGAGCAGAGCTGTGCTGCACATCAAAATAACTGTTCCATTTAAGTTTGACATTATTAATGAAATATAAAGGAAAATCTTAATTAAAAAAATCTTATCTCTTTGTCCATCCTTTCTCTTGTTCTTCATCTCAATATAATCTTCAGAAAGCTACTCTTGACCAGAAACTGGATGAAACCAGGCAGCAGCTACTAACAGACAGAACACATCACACTGAGACTGTGAACCGATTGGAAACACAGGTAAGTTTTGTTTTGGTCCCGTGTTGTGTGTGTGTATGTGTCCCAGATTCCCACTGTTTCCAGCCTCTCTGTGCCCTGTACCGCCTCCCCTCACTGCACTTGTGCTCTCGGCCAAAGGTGAGACTGCATGTCACATTTAGTCTTGAAAGGAAAGTCTGATTGATCAATGTCTCTGGTCATCTCCCCACCTTCGGTGGTGGAGAAGGGCCTAGAGGTTACGAAGTTAGAGATCTCATGCGTTTCTTCCCTAAGAAACAAATAGCTGAAGTGCAGGCATTGCTGGGGGGTAATGGTGTGGTGAAGAGTTTTTAAAAGCAGCATGTGTCAAGCAGGCAGTCTCTCTGAACTATGTGGTTTTGTGGTTTTAATGCTTATCTTCCTCTACTGGGTCATCCCACATTCTGTACATTTTTTCTAATAACATAGATGCCGATGGATAAGGAATTTAATGTACGGTTATATTTTAGAATAGAGAACTGGAACAAAAACTACAGATTGCAACAGAAGCATTGAAAAAGAGCAAAGAAGCAGCTGCTGAGCGGGATCTGAAGATCCAGAAGCTGGTGAGTATGCTGCATGATGTTTCACTGACCAGTAGCAGATCAGTCTTCAGCATCCCCAGAGAGACTCATTTCTCTGCGTTTGTTCCGTTACTCAAGTGTTTTCTTACTGTTTCTCTCCTAAACTAGTGTCTGTATGTGAGTACGTGACGCTGCTGCCAAAGGAATAGTGTTGCTTCAGTCTTGAGTATGTGTCACACGGACTGGTGTGCGATTCTTGTCAGAGCTTCAAAATCCCATTTTATTAATGCAGTGTTCTTTTATTTCTCTTAAGCAAACTGATCTAGAGGATGAAAGAAGTAAACTACAGCAGCAGATTTTAAGTGAGAAACATCAGTACGATCAGAAAGTTACTGGGCTGGAGTCTCAAATTGCTGCTCTTGAAACAGCTTGGGAATTTGATAAAACAGCTACTCAGCAGAAGATCGTAAGTACAGAAACTGTTCAGTGGGCCACATGAGTCTTCACAGAATGATTTTAACATGGCTTGTAGACCTTGCATGTTGTCCGAATGTTCTTACTCGGCGCTTCTAGCATTATAATAGATTCTCATACTTTGAGAAACTAAATATGAACAAAGCATTTGAGGTGCGATTAGCATTAGAATAATCGTGCTTAGTATTTAAGCAATCTTTATTTTACAGAGCCAGTTGGAAAAGGAAAATGAAAATCTTAATGGCAGCAGAGAAGAGTATGAGAGTTCTTTGAAAAAGCAAGAGTCTGAATTGAACAGGCTAAAGGTAAGGGCTTGATTGGTTAGTGACGTTGGTTAAATACAGAGCCGAGTTTGAGAAACAGTTAACAGCAAAGTGTCTTACATTCTCAGTACTTGGAGTCACATTACATTCAAGTTGTGTGTAATTACAGCTGTAAATCATCTTTTGATACTCAGTAGAAATGCATTTGAGGAGCATTACAAATGGCTGATCCTTTTCTGAAACAGAATGCTTGGGTCTGCCTAAGTCAGGCAGAAATAATACGTTCCCGTATTGTCAGGCATGAAGAGCTTTTAAATCCTGCTAGCAGTAATGAATACAGAATAGTTCAAGATAAAATTCCATTCATAGCATTCAAAACAAAAGTTAAAAATTTTTAGAGTTGGTCAGGTATTTACAGCTTATACTCAGTCTTTTGACTGTAATTTTAGATTGTTGAAAGTTTTTTCTGTAGCTACTCTTGGATGCACAATTGGAATAAAGATCAGTTGTAGGAAGGAGCTGCTTCTTTGTAACAGAGACTACAAGCTAGAAGATTTTTTAAGCATTGGATGTGTTTGACCTCTTAAATCAGTTCTGTGTTGCTCTTACATGTGCAGATAGCAGCAGTGCAGTAAAACAAAACAATGTCTCTCATTTGGAAGCATGAATCATGGTGTGTTAGAACACCCATAAATTCTAGCTGCTAATGGATTTGGGTTTACAGATGAGAGACTGACTTGATTTTAGTTGTCTTGCGTAACCTCTGAATTACTTCTTGTTTTGCAGAATGAATTGAGCAGCAGAGAAACTGTCAGCGTTGAAATCGCCAAGGCATTGGAAGAAACACGAAAACAAAGAGAGGAATTACAACAGCAGGTTGGTTAATACCGACAGTCTAAAATATATCTGGGTGCTCCCCACCTTGCACAGACCAGACTAGATTTGGACTTAATTATCCTAACAGTCAGGAACATTAATCAGAATCATGTCCTCAGCATGCAAGGCAGCAGTGGTTGCCTCAGTAAACTTGAAACTTAAGGGTGTCTGTGTAAAAGCCTGCACAAGAATGTAATCAACTTAGGTGAGTTATTCCATTGGAAGAATGTAAAATGCTGCTGACTGCAAAGTTCAGGATATTCATAAGTTTGTAGGCTCAAGAGTTATGGCAAGTTGTGGCAGTTGAATGTGAACAACTGCGGGGAAGACCAGGGAGTAGCAAGTGAATACAGCTGCTCAGAACAAAGCTGACTGGTATTTCAGAGCCCTTTAAATCTGTAAGATGGTGCGTCCCAGCGGGCCAGCCATCCTGAGCTAGCTGGCAGTTTGTTTTGAAGAAACGTATTCATTCTGTTTCAGTGCTTATCACTTATGTCACATCTTTGTCCCTCTGAAGCACAGCAGTTCTAAAACTGTAAATTTCCTCGTAGGGAGGAGGTTATACCCAGTAACCAAATATAAATTCTAGGTAGTCTTCTTTTGCTCTTCTTTTATTAAAAACAGTCATGATGGATAACGTGAGCTTGTGTTTATTTAAGCTGGGAACCGCCAACTGTGCAAGCTTGACTGAATTTAGTCCCATCTTTTGGTTTCTTTATTCTTCTGGGACTGCTGTAGATCTGTGCTTGCTTAGTCCAGCTGTATGTAGAAGGGGTATGAGGCAATCTCTGGTTTTGCTCATTACAGCTGCCACCTGCTGGCTCTGAGGCAATCTGTAACTGTGGCACAGAGCTTATCAGAAGCGAAGTATGTTTCAGCTCTTACAGCACATTGACTTTGGTGCTTTTTAATGAGGTCAGCATCGTAGAGGTGATGCCTTCTGTGACTCTCTGGACAGACCACAGACATCATCCGCATTGTATTATCTGTAACACTGATGCTGCACAAACCACTTTTTCAAGGTGTTGGATTGCCTAGCACAGAGCTCAGGCAGCCCCCGCCAGTTGTAGGTACCAGCCACTGCCTTTGTCACTGATACAAGAATTCTTCTCCAGTCGTCCCACAAAAAAAACCTATTTCTGAACCTCTGAGATATGTTGAAATCTTTCAATGCCCTCTTCTAGTTTTATATCTTTAATGACTTCTGTTTGTTTGTTTGCCTGCTTTGAAGGTTTCACGTCTGGCTTCCTTAATGAAGGAAAAAGATCAGCTGATTGATGAAAAATGTGATATGCTTCTAAAACAGAAGGAAGAACTAAACCAACTCAGTCAAGGTTAGACCAAACGAGTCTACTGTATCCCAGACAGCTTTATCGAAGTACAGTCTCTAGTTCTGGGCTTGCCTGATAGATTGTAATCAGTCTAGATTTCTCTTCCATATTTAATCTATTAGAATTTTCAAAATCTTATATCCTTCAGTAACAATTGGACAGTCTCTCTACTGCGTCCTTAAAAACAAAACCGCTTTTTTTAATTGCAGTCTTGTGTTCATACACCATAAAATAACAAATCTTGTTGTACTTTTTGTAAATGATTGTTTTGCGCAAAACATGAAATAAATGGTACAGATCAAAAACTGTTACTTCATTGCACCACTTTAAAAACTGCACTTGCTTGAAAGATCATTTACATTCTTAAAGAGCAGCTGCAAACTGATATTCCACAGTCACACCAAAAAATGAAGTGCAGTCATCTTCATTCAGTTCCTAACCCCACCGTGTTTCTCTTGCGTCGTGCCATTATTTAGAAAGAGAACAGAAGTGTAGCCTCTTGTTGCACCATTCCGTTGGCTGCCCGCGTGTCGGTAGCCCTTTGTGCCAGCTAGCCATTTGTGCTCCCAGCTCAGGCCCAAGTGTTCCTGTGCAGCCCCAGCACAAGTCACGCAGGCTTCTGATAGGGGTCTTTTAGAGCAGGTATAATTGATAATTATGTCGTTAAGTGTTAAAATCACTGACTTTGACAGTTAGGCTGCTCCTTTTCAAAAACATGCATGTGAGCTTGGGTGGCTTAAATTCCATCATCTTTCTGTCTTTACAAAAGAGCAAGGCAAAAAGGTCAGGGTTCACTGTCACCGTAACTTGCTTTGTTTAAGAAAAATAATTAGAAACTCCCATTTGATTCAGTAGACTGATACTAAGCAGGTCTCTCCTTTCTCAGATCACGAAGCTGTCTTGCTGCAAATACATCAGTTGCAGTCTGACGTAGAAGCAAGCAATAGCCGAGCAGTGGAGAAAGAAGAAATGGCAAGAAAAGAGATTGATGAACTGAAGTTGCAGATACAGGAGTACCTGTTGGCCAGAGAACATGAGAAAAACGTGAGTGCAGTTGCAACTCTTATCTGTTCAGACTTCTCAGGAAAATCAGCGGGTGTGCAGGAGCCCCAGCTCTGCCGTGCTGGGTGAGACGTGCTTGGAGCTGTTCACGCTGGCAGCTTGCTCATGACCTGGAACACCAGCAGTGTAGACACCATTATGTGTTGTTCCCTGTCTTCCTAAAGAAAGCTGTTTCCTGTCAGATCTGTGACTGGTTTCTGAAAGACAACCCCTTATTTTATGTGGCTCATAAAATATCTTGAGAGAACCATTATGAAACCAATGAGACAGAGACCCAAAAGCCGTAAGCAGGCCAGTGAGAGATGTAGCCAACTAGATTGCCACTAAGGCTTTCTGGTTTAAAAAAAGCAACCACCACCCCACAAAAACCACCACCAAAGGAAGTCTAGCTTTCTCCCTGTGGAGTGTTCATGGGCTGCAAGTGTCCTGACATCTCTGTAATTCACTCTTTTCATTTTTATAGGTTTCAGAGCTAGAGGAATCGACGAGAGCCTTGAACAACAAATATTTACATTCTCCAGGAAACGGTGTGGTGGAACAGAATGGAGAGATAGCAGCTGCAGACATGATTCAACTTCAGAAGGATAACAGAGAGCTGGAACAGCAAATTGCTGAGAAAAACAAGGTGAACTGAAACAGCTGTTAGTCTTTCCCCTTGTAATTAGGAAGCCTAATAATTGGTGCTGCCCATGCTGCAGCCTTAGAAGGACAGGCTTACCAAAATGGCAGATCCAGTTTGAATCCAGTATTCTTTGAGTAAATTTTTTTTCTTCTGGATTGTACAAGAATCTAGCAACAGTGGATGAAAACTGCAGCCAGAATTGTAGGAATCCCTACCTGTTTTAGAGGAAAGATGCACCAAATGATACCGTTTTCAGCTTTCCTGCAGAGCCCTTTTATGTGAATTCAGTTTGCTTCCCCTGTGCTGTCACATGAAAGCCCAAGTATCCTGTCACATGCCTGCTAGTGTGTGCAGCTAGAAAGGCAAGACACTCGGGTTCCTTCTTCAGAGCTGTCAGCATTGTTTAATGATTGTTTCATTCATTACACTTGTTTGTCACGGGTTTTTCCAGATATCTGTGGGTCACAATGTGTCCTGACAATGAATACTGTGTTAACACTATCCTTTGCTTACAGATGATAAAGCAGCTACAGCAAAGAATGACAGAGCTCAAGAAGACCCTGCAGAAAGAGTTGGTAAGGGTTATGTTTTCTCAGTCTCTTCAGCTGGCACTTACCAACAGTTACTTGCACTGCTGATTCCGAAAGCTTGACTGCTAGATAGAGCATCATTTTTGTACTAGGGATGTCTGCAGTTGCCTTGTGTTTGCAAGCAGATCGGTGAACCCTTAAATTAAGGAAGTAACGTTATTCTGGATCATTTATTGAATGGATGGTGTGACAGGTAGCCATCACCGCTCAGCCCTTGCAACGGAGAATTTTAGCTACAGAAAACCTGTGTTGGGTAATCTTGGGCATTTAATACATATCTGTAGAGTGAACAAGTGAGGTTTTATTGCTGCTTAGCTGCCGTTCACCTAAGTTTTACCATGGCAGTGATATCTGCCCCAGGGTAAGCTCCCCTTTAATCCCTCTTAGACTAGTTTTCCTCTCCAAGAAAAAAACTCTTCTATTTAAAAAAAAAACAGAGGTTTTAAAATATTCTGATGGTGTTATTTTTGTTCTGAGCTTGAAAATTGTTCTGGAGAAAGCCCGCATTTGAAAGGCACAGAGCAGGTTAGTGATAAAATTATCTGGTGATAGTTTCTGCCATGGAGCCGGTTTCTTGCTGGTTTGGGTATTGTACACATAATGCTAATGGTAACTAGCTGCTGTCCTAGAGTTTAGGGAGGGGGGAAGACACTTCTCCGCTGTGATCTCATGAGAGAGGAGAAGCTTGTCCTGTTGATGCCCAGGTTGTACCCGCCTTGTGGATACAAGCCCTCTGTGTTAGATGTCTTGGACCGGGATCCTCTCCCAGTGTCAAGCTGACAGTCTACAACGTACTTCTCTTTTTTTGTTTTCAGAAAATAAGGCCTGACAGTGAGGTACCTGAAGTACGTGACAAAGCAAATTCTGAAGTGCCTAATGCTTCTGTGACTGTCACAAACAACTCTGACTTAAATGACTCAAGGGAGATAAACTTCGAATACCTTAAACATGTTGTACTAAAATTCATGTCCTGCCGGGAATCTGAGGTAAAGACGTACGCTTACCTTCTCTTTCTGTCTTTCTCGAGAAACTGCCACCTGTTGCCTGCTAAGGACTCTTCTGTGCCAGTGCCATACTTGTACAGTTAAAAAGCTGTTGACTGATTCAGCACAATGAAGCAAGATAGCTAACAGTGATATGTTTGGAATTACAGATTATTATGAAGTAAATGAAAGGGAAACGTGAATTTTTAAGAGGTAGTTATGTCTGGAAGTTAAAGATCTGAAGCTACAAGACATTCCCTCTGCACTACTCTAAAAAGCATTTGGAGTATGTAATTAGAGTGGTTGTACGTTTAAGAAAGATGGCAAAAAAACCCCAAGAAAAAGACATAAACCACTTGCTGTTGATCTGTAAGAGGTAATTCCTTGTGCATTTGGAGCTCCTTCACATTCTCCACATGGTGTCAAAAAAGTTAAAGGTAAAAAAGTCATGCCAACAATATACTTTGCTTACTTTCAAGTCAGCGGGTAAGATCAAGAAATAATCGTGTGACTCCACGGCATCCTGAGTGCTTGGCTCTCTCACAAACTCTGCGTTGTGTGTCCCATTTAGAATACTAGCACTATGGAGTTAATATACTTCAGCGTATATTTAAAACGGCATGATTCTTTCCTGCCTGCCTGCTGGTTTCATCGACTTTTCAAAGTTTAAAAAAACCAGGATGCCGCAGGAGCCAGGCTTCTCTGTTCTAGCTAACTAGGCTCCCATTTGTCTTCTTTCCCCAAAACATGCAAACCAGTGCTAAAGAACAGAAAGCCAGGAAACGCAAAACAGAAGAAATAAGATACAGGCCCTCCTAGGCTATTGGAACTGGGGATAGCAGAAGGCTGCTGGTCCGCTCTTCGCAGCTGTGACTGGAGTCTGTGACCAAACCTGCAGAAAACTCTGCTGCACCGTAGTCCAGAATGTAGAGCCCGAGAGCATCATAAGCAACAAAATACTGTGGTTTCTTTCAGGCATTCCACCTAATTAAAGCTGTGTCTGTGTTACTGAATTTTTCACAAGAGGAAGAAAACATGCTTAAAGAAACTTTGGAGTATAAGGTAAGGGTTCTGTTCCACTCGTTAGTCTCTAACGGGACTCCCAGCAGATGGAATGAAAATTCTTAGATGCTGGGAGACCATGAAAAGTATCTTTTCCAAAATTTAGCTACAATAATAAATGTAATTTATTATTAAAATGTTAGCTAATCACATACATACACGTTGGACATTGTCCATTTCAGTGAGGGAAATACTTTCCCGTGCTTCAGAGAAGGAGTAACAGCACAGTTTTGCCCAGCGGACTCCGTCTGTGGAGGGAAGCTAGAAGCTCCTTGCTGGAGTACAGTCTAGCGTTTAAAAGCAGGAAGCCGAATTCTTGGTTTGTCATTTTGACATTGGGCTTAGACACCTAGATCTCTTCTTTCCATTGCATAAAATGAGATCTCCCGCATGTCCCTGGCTATGCGGTTATTAGCGAATGCTCATAAATGAGTGCTGCCTCAGTTCCTTCCTAGCATAATGTGTACTGTGCTTCCCTGTCCTAGATGTCGTGGTTTGGGTCCAAGCCATCTCCTAGAGGCAGCATCCGGCCGTCTATCTCGAGCCCAAGGACGCTGTGGCCTTAAGGGAACCTGAAAATGGGCAGTCAGCATCTAGCCACTTTTTTCTGTGAAAAGAACGCTGAACACACTAATTCAGGTGTGTCTTAATCACTGTCATTGCAGTATTTTGTACAAGAACTTTTGACACTGTTTACAAAACTAATACTGTGCAAGGAGATATTTTCACTACAGACGGAAACACCTCTCTGGGTCGGATGCGGGGACCGTTGTCCCGATGGTCTCTTAATGGAAGCCAGCTCCTTGTGCTCATCGGTCGTGCGTTCTTGGCACCAAAGGGTAATGTTAACCTCACTGATCCCGGTGCTGGCAGTTCAAGCTTCGAACATGTGCGTCTGTCACGGTGGCGATTCCAGCGTCCCTTAGAGAGGGCCCGAGTTGAGTAACTCTAGGCACAGTAAAGCTTCCTTGCCTCGCTGCGGAAAGCAAGCAATGAAAAAAAATGTTGGCAGTACTGTATTGAGGTTTTGACAGTTTGAAAAGCCTTTCAAAGAACAGGAGCGGGAGCTTTAACCAAAAAAGAAATCTGCCTTGCCTTGTTATACTGACATAACGAATAGTTCGCATTTTTTCATATCACTGTGTAATTTAAGGTGCGTATATCCTGGCCTGCAGTCCTGAAGGCTGCATGTTGATGATGATTATTTAATTTGAGAGCACAACTTTAGAGTTGTCTGATTTTACTTTTCTTAAAGAAAAATAATATTTAAAATGGTCTTAATTATAGTACCTAATACTCAGTCGCCTTTAAAACTAATCTGTTAGCCTGTACCATAGGTTGTTAGCATTGGGAAGAAGGGGTAGTAAACCATTTTAAATTTTTAAAGCTGAATTCCAGGTATTGTAAATGCACACTGAGAATACCTTTTATTTAAAAAAAAAAAATAAAATAATCTAGTGACAAAGGGTGAAGAATATTAGTACTAAACACTTCGATTTTTATTTTTTTTTTCTTCCAAGTCTGCTAGCAACAAATCTTCATAACCAGTATCCGCCTCTTTGGTTGTGGCTTTCTGTACTTCAAATACTGATGCTTAAAAACCGTTATGAACATGTAGTGGGCTGTTAACTGTGTCCTAACTACACGGTAAAAGAAACGCTGCTCGTGAGGTTTTTGGTTTTGAGGGCAAAATTCAACGCTTAATGAATAAATCTTGGTTCCAGCAGCTTGCTTTCCCTCCCTTACGATGGGGTTTGTGTTACTAACAGTACTTTTATTAAATATATTCAAGAAAACTCAACCTGTCCTCTAGTGGAGATACAGTCACCGTTCAGGTTTTTAACTTTGCTTTGCTAACAGGGGTCCGAACGACCTTGGTGTTAGCGCTGGAGTTGCAGCACGTGAGCTGCTCCCTGCTTCCACGCACGCTCGTGCTGTGGTAGAGACGCGAGTATCCTCCCACGCGCGGTCAGGTACCGGCGCGGTAACGGTGCTGCAAATCCGTGCCCTGGCTGGCCTCCCCGGTTTTGTTAATCGGCCGTACCCCAGACACGGGTGCTCGCAGCAGCTAGTACCTTGGCACGAGTGACGCTCCTCAGCTTACAGCTAGGCTCTATTTATTTAAAGTTAAGAAAACCAACAGGATTTTTTTACTGCACTAAAGCTTGTCCAAACGCAGTCTTCAGGAACCTCATCCATGGCACTTAACAATAGCATAGGGAAGCTTATGGGAAGAGTACAACTCTGCTCTGCTGTGAAAACAGACAATCAAAAAGTGGGTTTAATCAATTGCTCCTGTACTGAAACAAAGCACGGGCAGGATAACCCCGTTGGTTCTGGGATGATTTTCTTCTCTAAGGTCTTTTTCTGTACGATGTCCCTCTGCCCTGGCCTGTTCCTGTGGGACCCGAGGCCAGGGGACAGGATCCCTCTGTCACGCCGACGCCTGCAGAGACTAACCGGGTTATATTGATCCCGGCTTGAAAGGTTACTGCTGAACAGCGAGAAAAGCAGTACAGGCAGCCTAGAACAAAGTGAGAACGTAAAACCTTGGATTATGTATTCACTAACACAACTTCCGTTTAAGATCCCAAAGCTCATACAGGATCAACTTACCATAAGAACTAGTTCTTAAGTGTTGAATTTTCTTTAGATATCAGAGCAAGAATGGCGTGTATACATATATTTAAAAGCTAATGCACTTTCCTTTGTATAAAAACAGTGGTATACATAATCCTTTCTATGGCCATTGGCTTTCTTTCCTTCCATGCTGTAAATATGGATTGTATTATGAAACACTATGAAATTTGTGGTGCAATACATTTTGGATCAAAACCCTAATCTTGATTTCTTTCTCTTCATAGTTCAGTTATCTCCACTGGGATGCTATAGCTATTTAAAACTGAGAGAATTACTTTTAAAGCATGAAACAAAGCCCACCTGCGCAGGGTAAGAATGGCTGTGCCAGCCATGTCATTAGGGCCCCTGTGTCTCAGAGGGAGGTAGGCCAGGAATGAGGCTTCTGCCTCCTAAAATCGTCTCTCACCAGGGACAGCTGCTGCTGCGCTTCTGGCAGCTGATAGAAACAAAGACTGGACGGAGCAGGGCCTCCCTGAGCAGCTGTTTTGCTTGCAGCCCGCTCCCCCTGGCAGGCACCCCGCCAGACGCGCGGCACACTGCCAGCGAGCCCCAGAGGGACGCTGTGCGGCCCCAGCGCTCTTGCCAAGGGTGCTGCAGCTGACGTTGGAGGCAGCGATGGCTCGAGTAGCTGCGTCCTTCTGTCTGGACAAATCAAGGATAAAACGTGTGCGTACCGACTCAAAGGAGGCAGAGCATTTTCCTGTACTCAAGTCCCTCAGAAGGTGAGGACGCAATAATACATAAAGTAGTATTTTCTTGACCTTCTAGGATGGACAAGAATATAAAAATCAAACCACGGGTGATTATGTATTACATTCACTGCATCTTAGAAGCCTTGATTGAACAGCTGAGCTTGGTCTCACTCCTACAGCCAGCAAAGTTGGATTTGAGGACAAAGTCTGCAAATAGCTGGAGTTAAGAGCGTTCCTGCCAAGGTGGACACTTGGCTTAGACCTGCTGTGTTGCTGGCCTGCTTTTGAATAAGCTTCAGACTTACGATTTAGCGAAAAATCAATTACTTAACTCATGTGATCCAAGAACTTTATTGATGCAGCAGGCACTTTACAATGAAACCAACCCCAAAGTCCCAATTCGTCCTTCGACCACGCGCACAAAACTGCCGTTCTAATAAACGCTTCTCCCGCCCATAAGCTGTCAGGCTCTTGCACCTGCCGAGGACGTAGCTACCTCTTAAGTAAGCAGTACGCACAGGATCTCTTATCACCACACTCCGCTACAGCAGCATCTGAAAATACCTGTTCGCTTACAGTAACGGGAGGCAGGAGCGTGCCTTCTCTCTGCCTCGTAAAGAAGGGATCAGGAGAGTGTCTTGGCTCCTGTACTCGATAGTCGGAATATGCAGGAATACCTTTACTCTTCCCCCACCTTTAAGGTTAAAAGCATTCCAAGAGGAGGTTTCCGTAGTATTTCAGTAGATTGCAATCTCTAATAAAGATGGACCAGTGTCATTTCGGCTGATTCCTTCTTCTGAGTCCAAAACCGATCGTCGTCTTGGTTCGAGTTAATAGTCTTTTAAACAGTCTTTCTTGCTGTAAGAACTCTTACTATGGAACCTAGTCCACCTACCGCTAGTGCCTGTGGGGACGGGAGAAGGAGAGAGGCGTTACACAGCGTCGCTGCCTCGCGCAAGCCAGCCGCTACGTCACACGCAAGACGCATCTTAAAAGAAGAAAAAATTACGTGCTTAATAACAGAAGAGTATATGGCTCTTCTCCAAAAACTGACTTTGGGCTGTTCCGCCTCATTCCGCCCCTTTTTTTGCTCTCAAATCTTTAAACAGTTAACTGGGGAAAATCTGTTTGTTTTCTCCAGCGCATGCAGACCTTAAAGACATCGTAAGTCGTTTCATTTAGGTACTAAACTGTATCACGCCGTGGCAGTTTCCATGATGAAGCCACATTGCTCCCATCAGCCCGCGAGGCCGGGCAGCGGTGGCTCTCGGCGCAAAGCGCTCGCGCAGCCCCAGACCGCAGCGCGGCTCTTATGCGGGCTGCTGCCACCAGCAGGGAAACGCGGCGCTCGGGCCGTTCCGCCTCTTCGTGTCCCTGCCTGTGCCTGCTGCCTGCTGCCGCCTTTGCCCTCCCGCGGTGGCGCGTTCTGCGCCCGCACGCTGACTCCCCTTCGCAGCACGTGCTCCCGATGGTTTCGGCCGCCGGTTAAAAGGCCAACGGGGGAGCTCAGACCTGAACTCAGATCCTCGCTTGTTCCACTCTTGGGAAGTTCGTGCCTCACTTCCCCTCTGTAAATACAGCGGGGAGCGATCTTTGACTCACATCAGTGCAGTACATATATAGTAATATTCTATAAATGTACTCTGTGACCTAAGAGCCAAGGGGCTGAAGGGCAGACAAAACCAAATACAATAATTCAGTAGCCCACACACCACTGAATCTGAAGAGAAAATTACATTCTCCAAAATCTAAGAAACCATCTTTTGGATCTGGAGAAGGATACCGATGTCACACGTCACTGACGATGCAGAATGCCTCACCTCCCACATCCCTGAATGGGAACGGAGAGGGGCTCCTTTGAGTTCCATTTGCATCCCTCAATGTACATAACATCTCCTTCTAGAGTCGAGAAGAAGGTGGATGCGATTAGGAAAAAAGAAATGTCAAAGCTGACTGCTTCAAATGAGGCCTCTTTACTTTGCAGACGTAATTCAAGTACAGCCCAGCGGGTGTTGCAATGTATGAAATGAGAGCAGCGATCAACAGGGTGATCTGTCCTGAGGACAGAGAGGAATGCAGAGCGTCCGCTCGGAGCAGGCCCTGCACGCGCGGTACGCATGGAAATGTTCCCGAGTTACCAAACCCGACGCACCCGGCCGACAGCCGGGCCTTTTCCAGAGCACAGACAGGAACTGCTGCTGAGCAGCCGACGCCTCTCTGAGCAAGCCACACGTCTTACTGGTAGTGCAAAAAGCCAAACACCAGCACGGCTTTCAGCCCTGCCCGGCCCACTTCAGACCTGCCTCGTTCCTTCCAAAACAAAGAGGACGAGATGCCCTACGTGTGCCTGCATGCTCTGAGCACCGTCACCTTTCCAGTCAGGGCGGTGTTGTGCAAGGCTGCACGCTGGGAGCGCCCACCCATGGTTACCTGAAAACAGTCTCCAGTGGAAACAACAACAGAAAAAGTTCCAGCAGAAACATGTTCTTTGCTGTCCTGAGGAACTCCCTCCTCCTCCCCGTCAGGGTTCTGCAAAGCCCGTGACAGCTGGCGTCAGGCTACACAAGTTCTGCCCTTGCGTATCGCGGGGAAAACGCGTACTTTGTGAAAACGACCCCGGCGGTAGCAGCAGCCCCGGTGGGGGGCACAGGGAGCGGTGCCGTTCCGAGGGATCGTTTTTCCTGGGAGGGGCCCTGACAGCCAGAGCTGCGGCTGAAAGCCCTGCAGCTGGGGAAGATCTCGCCCGGATTCCTTGCACAGGGGCAGTGGCCCCGTCCCAGAGCACAGACGTTCAACGGCCAGGTGATGAGCGCACCCTGCCCTCCACAACGGTCATTTCACAGAAACACGAGAGCGCCGCTCTGCATCCCACTGGAATCCTTCCCATCCCACAGGAATCTTGCTGGAGCTCCCCAAAGCCTCTCCTGTGCAAACCAAACAGGTTTGCTAAAGGCCGTTCCTCGGCTGTGACAGGTATGCTGCTACCAGCGCACAGTTGATGGAAACCGCCGGCCCTCCGCCAGCCCGAGCAGCCCCTCAGCCCGACCGCGGCTACAGAGGAGCGCTGCCAGCCGCAGCGTGCCACCGCCCCCAGCTCCCCCCAGCTCCTTCTCCTCGGCGGGGCCATGGCACTCGTTAAACGCTTCCTCCAGTGGCCGCTGCCCTGCCGCAAGTCTCGCCTCTCCCCTGGCTGAGGGCAAGCTCTGACAGACGGGCAAAGGCGTAACGAGCCCACGCTCAAAGAGACCAGAGCTACAGGGAAACGCCAGCTGCGGGGAGGAGCCCCCGCCATCGTTGCGGGGGCTCTCGCGGAAGTGCTGACAAGGAACCCGCGGAGCGCGACTGAGCCGAGAGAGCACCAAAGACGTACCTTTTCGTGCCACTGAAGTAATATTGCGCTGCTATTTTCTGTTGGCTTTTCAAATCCTTTATAAATGTACTTCATTAGCAAGTCAATGCCATTTCTGTCTAAGGAATTCACTGCTTGCTCTATTTCACTGCTTTTAAAAGACGTGAGGACTTTAAGCATGGTGCCCTGGGCCTGCTCCTGCGAAGACAAGGAAGGGAGGACAACGTGAGAACCAGCAAAGCTGGAAACGATCCCAAGGCTTGTGTCGGAGGCAGCGCGCTGCGGTCCGGTGGCTGCGCTGCAGGCTGCCTTCTCTCTGTCGCCACGCAGGTGACCGCCGTTCGCTTCAGGAGCGAGCAGAAGGAAGGGGTGAACGCGAGGGGACGGCCGATGCGGACAACACGGCGTATCGCTGCGTCGCTCGCTAACAGCGCCGGGGCTGACGGGAGCTCTGGGGCAACGCCGCGCCGCTTCGGCTCCCCCCCGGCCCGCTGCCGAGCCCGCAGCCCTGCCCGCGCCCCAGCCCCGTTACCTTCATCGCCTGGTTCTTCGTGTTAACGGGGGAGCTCCTCATGGCGGTGTGGAAAGCTCGCAGCGCCTCCCCTGTGCGGCGCAGGAGTCAAGGACTCAAACGGCTCCGCGTAACGACGCCGAGCATCGTCACGGGCGGCGGACTACGCGTTGGCACCAGCACCGCAGCTCCGGGGCCGCGCACCAGCCCGGCGCGGGAGAGCGGAGCGAG